TTCAAAGCGTGTGAAAAAAGTAGCGGCTTATAGTCCGGAAATTACGGTAATCAGATTACAGTTATATTTAATAAAAATGGGAATTATTAGCAGGATTACAATTTTAAAATACATCAGTTTTACTTAAAAAAAATACTGAGAAGATGACACATTTTTGATGAGAAAAATCTTGGTTCCCATTTTTTTCCTAAGGTTACATAGTTCTGTTGTCTTATAGAATACTTACAGCAAAACTTCTTATTGACATTTACTTTCTCTTGTCTTTATTTTAATACTGGGTGTTGAGGTAATCCAAAAGTAATGGAAAGTAATCAAGTTACGTTACTTTAATATTGTGATACTTGGATCAGGTTACTGACTACAATCTTTAACAGGTAATTAGTAATTGTATTGGATTACGTTTTTAAAGTAACCCTCCCGACCCTGCTAATGATCATTTTCATTATTGATTAATCTGCAGAATCTGTATTAATTAATTAATTTATTGTTTGGTATAAAAATGTCAGAAAAGAGTGAAAAATGCCCATCTTTGCTTCCTAAAGCAGGGGTTCCCAATTTTTTTCATGTCAAGGACCCAGACAACAGATGCATATTAGACCACAGACCTCCATTTTGACAGGATTTTGTCTTAAGGAATTCTTTTAGCTTTCCAGATTCAAGATAGTCTTCATAGTTAATCAGTGATCAAACTGGAATCACTTGAATTACAATCTAGGAAAACCCAATTCCTTCCCAAAATGTAATACCCAAGTTTGAAAACCACTGTTGAAAAAACCCAAGATGAAGGCTTCAGATTGTTTGTTTGGCATGCTTGAAAAATGACTTAAATGATTAATTGATTATCAGATTATTTTGATAATGATAATTTTTCTGTCTACTTATCAATTCATTGATTACTTGTTACAACTCAACCTGTGTTACGTTACAGTACTCTTCAGGAGAATGTTTTCTTGGCTGTCAGCAATAAGATAGGAGTGTGTATAGTACAAGTGCATTCCCTTGAATTACTTTTGCTTACTTATTGTACTAATTAATACTTCTTTACTTCGCGACCAAGTATTCAATGTGTCATTTTGCTTCCAGCATCACCTAGTTCACAAAGATACCCAAATAAATATCAGCAACTGAACTGATCCTCACAATGCAGGCACCCCCACAACGCCACACCAGCCTGCAGCTAATCAGTCCCTCCAAACTTTTTTTCCCAATGAAATTGTAACTTAATTGCCTGACAAGTTTTTGATTATTTTTTTTTGTTGGTATAATTCATAAAAAATCAAAGGCAATTTCTTTTTTCAGTTAGAGCGAAATTTCTACTAGTTTTGTGCCATATGGCGCAACGTTTTGTATGGGGGACTGCCATGATTGATGAAACTTGCGGGAAACTACAAAAACTATGTTTTGTATGCATGTATTAATTTTTGTGATCTCAACTTCCAGATGGGACTGGCTTTCGCTAGAAATGCCTGGTTTGGTCTGAAATTATCAGTTGATCAACAGAATAATAATCTCTAATTATTTTGATGATTAGTTGCTTAAATCGTTTTACAAGCAAATATGTCATGCATTTCCTAGTACCAGTTTAAATTATTTAAATTATGCCGTTTTTCATTTGTATCTTAAATAAACAGGCTAGAAGTGTTAAGTAAAAGGGACTTAAGTTGTGTTTGGTTGAAATTAAAACTAGGAATGTAAAGATATTTCACAACAGTTCAATTGTGATTTCACAGTTAATACAGCACAGAAATAAAAAGGGATTCTATAATTTTGATCAAGAAAATGTAAGAGAAAATATATTTAGTGGATTTTTTGTCATTGTTTTGTGGACCCAGTATTGTAAATTGTGAATTGTTTGTTACATTCCTAATTAAAACCAGTTAATCACCGCTCATGTTTGTGTTTAGGTGGAATTCCTGGAGACCACCTCATAGTCCCAGTGTCAGGTCACAGTGTACCCAGCCCCATGCACCTCAGACTAGGGCAGAAAGAGAAGGTGTGGACAGGCGAGTATGTAGACGAAGAGGATGATGGGATGGGTAGGATCGAGGAAATAGGCGATGAGGAAGAAGAAAACAATCTGGATGGGGAGGAGGAAGATGAGGGCGAGTTTGAGGGCAAGGCTTGGGATAACAATGATGGGGATGAAGAGGAGGAGGATGTGGAAGAAGAAGGAGACCAGGCGGAGGTGGAGTGGGGAATCCCAGACTTTCCCTCCCAGTCCACCCAGCACCCTCATTCACAACAACACCAACATGGACCAGAACAGAAGGCAGAAGAAGGTGGTGATGTCATTGTAGAGGATACTGTTTCCCAGGCTGAAGCAGGGGACTTGTTCAGGTCCCACCTTAGCAGGTACAGGGCTCTGAGGAGGCTTAGGCGCTGGCAGCGTTTGCGATCCCATGGAGGCCTTGGATTTCGGCTCACCCAGCACTGGAAGAGCTGGCGACAGCGGGCCCAGTGGGTATGCTCCCAAGGGCACCGGTGGAACCGGAGAGGGCAAAGGTACAGTCTGTACGGCAAGCAGAGGAGGATAAAAAGATATCCGCAATCACCAGACACCGATGGGGATGATGACAGCTATGATGAGAGGTTCACAGAGTCTGAAAGAGGTACAGAGATACAGTACATATTTTTCATTTATTTATTTACCCACACATCATTGTCAAATGGTAATTAAAATAATAGGTTTTTTCATTAGTGCAAACAAAAAATGCCACACAAAAATATTATTTTAAATGTAAAAATGGTCACATTACTAATCATATGTTGAAATCCTGCATCTTTCACAATGGCATAGGGCTGCATATCTTTGTAGTAACCCCCTCTTTCAGAGTCTGAAACAGGTACTTACCTACACTACACTTGTAAAGAAGACTAGTTATTATGGACAGAATATATTAAAAATGGTACAGTTCTATATTTTTCTTACTGTCAGCAAATCACATACAAACATACAAATACCAAACTAACAATGTGTTGTCTGTGTTGTGTCTGTCTCTTAATATTCCCTGCTGTTATTCAATAAGAACCTTTTGAAGTTACTTGACAACAACTTTATTGGCAACATGTTACTGTATGTATAATATGTGCACAACAACACTTCCGGTCTATTTCACAATTAGAGCACCCACTTTCTCCCAATACATAAGAACAGGTAAACTCTCAGACAGTCAATTATTTGGCTACTTGAATATAATGCAACCAATAACAAATATAAGTAAAAATAAATAAGAGTAAATTAACAAACTCTTTTCTGAAAACATTTGCTTTTCAATAGTAGAACTTGAACATGAATATAAATACTAGAATTGAACATAAATATAACAAATAACTAACACAGTGTAGCAGCTTCTTAGTTTGGTTTCCATTGTCCTGGAGAGCTGATGCCCCCTTTTGGCAAGGAGGTGCAGAAGTTGTTTTTTGGGCTGTACCTCAGGACAAGCTCAATTTTCTGGGTTTGAATAAGTTCTTTGACGCTGCTTATTTCCGTCAGTCTTTTCTCAGTGTCTGACTTTGTGGACTTGCATCGAACAGTGATTGACTGTGATAGTTTATTGATGAAGCATATCCAGCGTCACTTATTGTTAGCCCAGAGAAGACTGTAGCCAGAAAGATGGCTTTATAAGTTCCATCAGACATTGCTAATGTTTAATCTGCATGTGTACTTACAATTCTCTTGATTCCCTTTGGCTGCCAAAAAAAGGGGCCGACCTACCTTCTTGGACTTAATTTCAACATAATTTTCATTGGATTTTTTTATTTACCCACACACCATTGTAATATTCTAATTAAAAGAATAGGTTTTTTAATGAGTGCACACAAAAAAATGTGGTTTTGATCATATGCCGAAATCCTGCATTCACCTGATATATATATATATATATATCAAAGTTCTTAATTTTAGATGAGGTACTACTGTTTCAGTTCCCGTCTGTTTACCTTGACCAGATTGCTTTTTTTTCTTGAGTTAAGTGAAAAATGTTAACAGTCTAACAATCTGTATAGGGACAGAAATTGTGTATAATTCTTTCCTTTTCTCTAGCAGATAAACCGATAAATGGCTGCTCTCTAGACAAGCAAGAGGACAGAGGGAGACGGGAAGTGGAGGTCAAACCAGTGGAGCTGGCACTTACTGAGGAGCATATGAGTTGTGTGACTGGTATGGATCAGAGAACAGGATTTTGTCCACATTAGCATTTTCAGATAATTTTTCATACTTTGTAATGCCAAAGCAGTAGGTTGACAAACAGCAGTGTTTCCTGTAAAAAGGTGGCTGTTTTTGGTTCCATTTGTTTGCTTGTTGTTTTAAAATTAATTTATTGGAATATCGAATAAGACCCAACAAAAAGTGGTTTGTTTTAGGTGTGGATTATATGTGCTGATTGGGTCTTTCTTTCAAGATTTTCTTCAAATTGCAAAATAGACAATGTTTTTTTTCCCTTTTGTTGTTAGATGTAAATATAAAAATGTTAAAATGAAAGAGTTGGTCTTCTTGAACAGACACCATACTATGCTTGTTCAACTTGTTGTGAAGATAATTTAGTGATATTGTCTTGTGTTTTAAGGTATTCTTGAAGAGTCTCTACAACAGTATGGCAGTTTGATCCCCATTCATGTGGATGACATCGTGGAGAAGCTTCAGGACATCTTCAGTGAGAGCTTCTCACAGCCACATAGGTTAGACACAGTGTTTAGTTATTCTTGGATTTTTGTAGCTGTACCACTAGTGCTCCAAGAATGTCATTATGGCTTAATTAATTGTTCTTTTCTTGACTTACAAGTATGACACAGAAAAGCAGTTTCTTTACTCTCATTACAACAACCAGTCCTTGTTTCCTTAAAGTAAAGTGGTTCATTTAGGGAAGTCTATTAATTTGTTATATCTGCAAATTCTTTGTGTAGTTCTGTGATGAATGAATACAATTTATACAATTGATTCAAATCAAGGAAGTTGGTAATATAAACATGCAACTGAATTGCAAATGTTATTAATTAACCTTCTATCATTGTATTTTGCCAAGCCCTAGCTCAGCCGTCACAGGCTAAGCTCACCAAAGAGAAAGAAAAGGTGAAACTGTGACCCTGTATATCCAGAAACTAGAAAAGAACAGTAATAGGAGAACTACTTCTGTCCACTACACCTACTGGAGGTCTTGAGAGAAAATTAAGGAATTTCCTTCCTAATACTCAAGTGGATGCTTAAGAATACAAATATAAATAAAATCACATTTTTATTCTTAACCATCCACCTAAGTGTCTGGTGTTGGTGTCTTCTACCCTTGCATAATTGTTATCTCTAAACATAAGATGGATATGTACTTCATTAATCACCTATTGGGAAAATAGTTTTTTCATTTTTTTATTTATAAACACACACACAGGCTGAAATGCACACTTCATGCACTTGTGGACATGCAACAGGGAAGAGATGGTGGAGTTATGGGGCTGCCACGTTAACAGCGCCCCATGAGCAGTTTCTTGGGGTTAGGTTGCCTTGCTCAAGGGAACTCTGGCAATGCACAGGAGGTGAAACTAGCACCTCTCCAGCTACCAGTCCACACTCCATATTGTGGTCTGTGGGATTTGAACCGGTAACCCTCTGGTTCCCAAGCCAAGTCCCTACAGACTGAGCTACTGCCGCCCCAAAATGCATAAATTAGATTAAAAAGCTCAAAAGCAATATCTCTCTAGTGAAATAAAAAAAATACACAGACTGGGTTGTGTGTCAATATGTTTCTCATTCATTATATAATATGATGAAATAAATGATATTGATGATAAATGATGACAAATTATATTTTCTGATCATTTTCATAATACACTGACTTTTTCTCTACTGCCACCCTGAGGTAATAATTTCCATTTGTCCATTGGGAGTTTTTGGTTTGTTGTCACTTTTTTCCAGTTGTAGTGAAAAGTAAAAGAGGAGACACCCTTCCTGGGAAACTGCAATAATCATTAAACTAATTTCGCCATCAATTAAACAGAAAATTTATTTAGACTAGTCTAAAAGTAAACAGTAAAAATTCTGCTCAATATAAAGACTCACACATCTAAGTTAGATACCCCGGTATAGCCTGGTACACGCATTTGACTTGCAGGCAGTTTGTTACATTATTGACATTATTTAATGTCAGTAAACATGTCAGGATAATAGGCTACTGAAATCGGCAACATATGGAATATAATAATTACGTGAGTAATAATGAATGACATTCATTAGGGGATCTGGAGGGTTAATTAAACTATTGGGGAGTATTTTATTACTACAAAAGTGACTGTGTAGTTAAGTTAAATGTAACCATTTATTTGATTTTTTCTTCATTAGGAAAGCAGTGGTCCAGCACCTAATACAGTCCTTCCAGCGTTCATCAGGATCAGCCCTGGCTAAAATATTCAGAGTCAACTACAAACGCCACGTTCTGACCATGGATGACCTTGGCACTCTGTATGGACAGAACTGGCTCAACGACCAGGTACAGCAGCAGTACAAACTTTGTTTTGTTTATTTTTTTTCATTTGCCTGGTCAGTCGGTGAGGATATCTACTTGTCCTTGTCCTTGCTCCTATATAAAATGTTTAATTTATTAGAGGTTATCAACACACAACAAAGACCCTCTTGGCTGCCATGCGAGCAGATGCTGTAGGCCCTTGTTATGGCACTCCAGCAATTAGGTGTGCCTCTGAAAAATGACCCCGTTTTATCTGCCCGGCTCTCCAACTTGTGGCAAACTGCGTGATACATAGTTGGAGTTTTACCCACATTCAACGCCAGCCAACTAAACTCCTGTTTCCAGGATAATTGAAATGCTCGCTTGCACAACGTTGTCTTTACCCACTGCTATTTTCTTGACAATGCCAAATTGGTATTGAGTATGTCCAACTCTCACCAGACATGAGAAAGAAGTGAGATGGCTCACTATTTTTTGCCACTTGCCTAACTGGGCTAGTGAGTCGCTAGAGCCCAGCATGGCATTTTACTTGTTCCGGGTAAAGGTGCCATAGCAGTAAGCTTGCATGCACAGTGCCAGGACTCTGTAACTACCTCACCAAAATGGAATGCATGATAAAACGTGCTGCTAATTAGCATCATTGCTGCAGGGTTTTGCATTGTTACAATTGAAGGGTGCTCCGATTGATTGGTCACTGATCGTAATCGGCCCATATTCGCTCTATTTAGTTTGGTCAGTATATTAACAGTCAGGCACTCGTTTTAGCATTTTGCAAACAGAGAGAGAGATGTTATATGGTGGATGTATAAGAAGCATGGAGCAGGTAAATCATCAGTTTTCGATAGGCGACATCATTAACGAGCCTTGTTAATGTGTGACTCACCCAGCTGCTGTGAAAACTGAATCACAGGTGAAAACATCCAATGTGAGTTGTGTTTCTTGGGCAAATTTATAAAACTTACTGGTGACCAACAAGAGAGCAGACACATACAGCCTGTATATGTAGAGAGGAGCAGAGAGGGGTGGGGCAAGCCAGGGTGTTGGAGACAGGAGTGTAGGTGTGTGCGTACACTATAAACATAAGGCTTTAAATAGATCTGATAGGCCACAAAAACCCTGATTGGAGCACCCTTAATAATAATAAATAATACTAAGAATGTGCATAGAATGAATGTACTGCCACCTTATCCTCAGGACTGTTAACAGTGTGTCTTATGCTTGTCTGGAAAGCAGTGAAGTGTAAAATATTGTTTGCTTGGGGGTTAGCCTACATTCATTCACAATCTAGTCAAAAATCTGGATCTGTGTTGTGGAAGTAATGTAAAGGGGGGACTAAGAGAGTATGATATCTTTCAGCAATGAGCACAATTGTCCATTTTCATTTCCATTTAGTCACGTGAGGCTGGAAATTCCTGTGTGCCTAGTGTAAACTAAACAAATTACAAGAAATTCTTATCATAACCTGCATTATTGAACAGAATACTAATAAATACAGATGCAGATAAGTAATAGATTAAAAAACAATTTCTGACGGTGTAAATGGTGGCATTCTCTGTCTGAACAGTGAAGTCCGCTTATAAACCGTTTGACTGATTTGTAGGCTTGACAGTATGTATAGTCCAGTGTGCAAGTGCTTTTTAAACAGTTTATTTTAGGAGGAAATATGCAGAGAGACTTTTAAAAGCAATGCTTCGCTGGCAGTAGTGACACTATATATAGGCACATTCCTACTCTAAACTATCAAAAGATTCCTATAAAGCTGTTGCCAACTGACCACTGATATTGTTTCAGATGAGTGTTCAGGGAATACCACTCAGTTCATTAAAAACTTGTTTCCTCTTTTCTTTTCACATTGCTTCTTTTCCTTCATCTCTTCTTGCGTCTGCAGTGGTAGGGACTGTGACGAGGAAAAGATGCAAGTGAGGGAAACGTGAATGCTATTAAGGGAACTGAGATGCCCCCTTGGACACTATCAACATGCTCTTTTGTAGCCTGTAGCTGTCATTTGGTAATAGTTACAATGATATCAATACTAACAAAATGCCCGTATTCTGAGTAAACTTTCCTCTGCTGTTAGGCTGACTGCAGCATGAAGTAGCAGCTCTAAACTGCATTCTGACACATCATTCCACTCGTTCCCATTCATTACCTATACTGTGGCGGCCCACCAGGGTATTTTCCCTGCCATACGAACCAAAATCATTTTTACCCTTCTTTCTAACATTGTGTTTTGCGGCGTTGCTTCAGCAAAGCATCTCTCACTCACATTACAAGTATCCGCAATCGATTAACTAGTTGGTCTGCCCCTCTTACAGTCCACTGACAGTCACGTTTGAAAAGAAAAAACAAGGTGATTAAAGTAGTTAGAGAGTTAGGTAGTGAAAGACATACACCTAATAAGGGGTTATGTGTCCTTCAGATATCTTCAATAGATAAATTAGTTCCTCTACTTCTTCTCATACTTCTTGCCATACTCAAAATAAAAAGTGTATTTAGTGTATTTGGCAGATGTTCTTTTGAACCAATAAAATGACTAATGTAATAATAATAATAATAATAATAATAATCACTGCTCACTGATCAGAAAAGTAACTTTTTTAAGATGTGTCATTACATATGACATCCTCTATTGTTGTTTGATTCAGGTTATGAACATGTATGGTGACCTGGTCATGGACTCTGTGCCAGAGAAGGTAAGGAATATTTATTTTAAACAATGGCTGGGGCGCCCTTGTAGCTTACATGCTGGTGCCCCACATACCAAGGCAGAGTCTTGCTGTAGTGGCTCTGGGTTCAACTCCCACCTATGGCCCTTTGCTGCATGTCATCCCCTCTCTCTCCCCCTTTCTTGTCACTCTTCAGCTGTCACTATCAATTTAAAGCAATAAAAGCCCTAAAAACATATAAATTAAAGACCAATGGCCTACTAAAGGGTTTTAAGATGTTTTATATTTTGATATTTATGTATATCAAATTTGTTTTTGTTTTGAGCAATTCTAATGTTTGGAATGATATTTGATAAGCAGTCACTTTAGATGCACCTGGCTACTCTGCTGTCAGATGTGTAATATTATTACAATGTTGCTTCAAGACAGTCAAGTCATGCCCATTTAAGCTGGAAGGGCACATGCCCTACCAGATTTTTGATATCTTTTTTTCATTTAATTATAGTCGTTTTATATTCAGGCTTGGTTCTACGAGGGGGCAAACATCCATTTCACCCTGAGTTTAATCTTTTTCACCCTTAATGTCGAGCGCAAGGTGCTTTAGTAGGCATTTAGTGGGTGTCTTCATGTGCACCTTCTAATTTGGTCCATCTATGTTCAACAGCGCAACCTGAAAAAGGGCTAGGTGAAGGTGACTATAGATCATAGGTGGCGAAAAACTGTATCAAAATAAAGACACTGATTTGATGAAAATGCTTGTATTATTATAATCTGACTGATGCTCTTTGAGTAATAATTATTATGTATCTCACCTCGTACATGGTCATATAGTTCAATAATTAATTAGCGTTTGCTTTGCATTGTATTTCACGGATAAATTAAGAGTACATTAAGAGTGTACGTTTGCCAAAAGCCCTGGTAACCGGATGTCTCCTTTATTAAAAAAGCAGAATTTTGAGTTATATCCGAGCAGTCTGATGTGTGAAGAGCTCTGTATGTTTATATTGTAGCAGCCTGCTGTTGTTTTCAGGCGATTTAATGAAGATAAACTCAGCGAACAGTCATGTGTAAAGACTGCTGAGACTGAAGGAGAAGCTTTTTATATATGTATATGAATAAATAAATATGAAGCCGTTGTGGACAGCACATACTGAATCATCCATGTTCATTCATAGATCAGTGACTGATTTACTCACTTTCCTGCTTTAACCACATTAAACCTTTTGCTGCTTCCTATGCATTGTGTTTGAACAACACACTACAGTACAGTAACGGTGTGAATATTGGCCTGCATTCGCCAGGGCATTAATTATCTCTTCAATAGTCAGGACTGCTTCTGATAGATGACGTGCAGGCTCACTCAGTCCCACACTTCTTGCGGTAACATCCTTATGGAATAATATTTCAGCTGGTATCGTAAACACAAGATGGCGCAGTCTCTTGATCTAGTGACATTGAATCCCATATATATAGACTTTTATTCCATATATTCAAAGTTTCATTACATATATTCAAAGTTTCATTTAATATATTCATACTTTCATTCCATATATCTCTCACCTACTCTAATTTTTACTTTTCTCTGTTCTCTTCTTCAGGTTCACTTTTTCAACAGCTTCTTTTATGATAAGCTAAGGACAAAAGGCTATGAAGGTGTCAAACGGTGGACGAAAAATGTAAGTGGGAATCTTATGAACTCTTTTTCAGTTAAGTTATTAAGCAGGATATTTTTTAAGTTCAGTGTTCATGGGGGGGAAACCTCCCCTCTTCCCCAACTCCCAAGGCAGATTATGTGAGTGGACTGGGCGGATGTTGGAGTGGAGCGTCGCCTTATCTCCTGTTTCGTTCCACTCTAGTTTCACTACAGTATGCGTAATGCTAATCTCTGGTCCCACTGTACGTCACGGTGATCATTTCCACGCTTCCATGCATTGTCAAATTGCGCATGAGCCTGGCTGTTTAAATCAGATCAGTTTCCAGCTGATGTTTATAGTAACCTCATGAATTATGTGTTCATTGATAAGCAGGGTGTCGTTTCTTCTGCAGCAGTGAAGTTAGAAGTTAGATGTAGCTGCCTCTGTGTGTGTATCTGTGACATCATACAGGTTAAACAGGTTTTAAGCTAAAATTAAAATACAACTTCCCCTTTCCTTTTTTTTCTTTTTAGAGAAGGCAATGACCAATTTTAGTGGAGTGGGATGAAATCTGAGTTGAGCACTCCGTAAGGAGCTGTGCTAATCCGCTATTTTCCTACAGTATTTACATTTAGTTTTGTTTTGCTCTTTATTACGTAGACTAAGGCCAAAGTCTGCCCACACAACTGACATGGCTGTACCAGTTCTTTCTCATCTGCATGGTTAAGAACATTGCTTTTAACTGCTAGATGGAACAAAGCTGACTTAGCAAAGCTCCACAGTACTTTCAAGGGGTGGGAGGCAGCCTAGATAATTTAAAATTATCGTTGTCCAAAAGTGAGCAAAGTTTTATTTACTATTGTAATAAATAAACTTATTATCTATTTTAATATCCATTTTGTGCCCTCCACTCTTCTCACTGTACTCTCCTTGTATCAGGTTGACATCTTTCAGAAGGATCTTTTGTTGATCCCCATCCACCTGGAGGTCCACTGGTCGCTGGTCAGTGTTGACATTCCTCGTCGAGCCATCACTTACTTTGACTCTCAGCGGACCCTCAACAGACGCTGCCCAAAGGTAGGAATGGACAGCAACACCAGGGCTTTATACTAGTAGATTATTTTTGAAAAAAGAATAAATGTAAAACCCCTTCGAGACCCTCAGTAAATGGACTTTCTATCTCTGCAGTTTCCAGGCTACCTTTCTAACTAATAGGCTGGGGAATGTGTAGTCTGTTATGACCCACCACCTAAAGCTCTGCACTGCATAAAATACCCGAAATGAAGAGTGTAGTTAACAAGGACAATCACCCTCTTGGTTCATATTTACTACTACTTTTTCAGATTAAGTCTGTTTCTTAGGTAATAAATAGAACATTGCTATTTTAGTGGATAATGTATATGAGTAACTGTATCTTTTACTGAACAAATCTAACATTTCATAATTGGGGTACTTAAATTATTTACTCTGTAGTAGTCTCTGTATGTCTTACCAGACGTGGACAGCACTGTGGCTATCGCGTCCCATCTTCGTGTTTTTATGTATCATCAGTTTTACCAAGGCGTTGGTCAGTATTAGAAACACACCTACCAAGAGTGGTTTTTTGAGTGTCTCATATGTAAAATAAATGAAGAGTTCAATGAGACAAGGAAACCGTTCCCATCTTAACCTCAAAATAAACAAAACCTCAACTTCAAAATAAAGATAGAAAATATTTCCCCAGTATGTAGCCCTGTAATTATAAACTACAGTAATCAATTGAGATGGTTTAGTTTATGGATATGGGTGGAAAATTTAAATAAGCACACTATACCAACACCATAATATAATGTAGTGCATTTGAGGTGTCGCAGTGAGGGATTCCCCAGTGACAAACAGAACGGCGTGTGTGTGTGCCATAAATCCACGGGGGTACAATACAATTAATGCTCTTTTACCTGAAGTCTGCTGAATGTGGGTGGTCCTTGACATAACACTTCTTTTTATTGGCTTTTTAATTGGCAGTTGGCATGATTCTGTAGATGTATGTTTTGGAAAAGCCAAGTAGCTGTGGTGGTATCTTGCGTTACAAACTATCACCAGCACTATATTGAAGCATTGACTTGACAGCAGGTTTCTCTGCCATGCTAAGACCAGATATTGCATACTGCAAGGCATTGCTGCCTACTACTGTCAAAGCTGTGTTAGGCAACTTGCACAAAGACTTCAGCCACTCTTAACGGTTGGTTGGCACTAGCCTGAGCTGTCCCTTTTTTAAGGGAATTGAACATTCAGTACATACAGTGCATTGAAGTGTAATACAGGAAGGTTCTATAGCAATATTGCCATTATCGCAACAGACCTAAGTACATTGGAGTTCCGTCTAAAGTGTTCATTGTCATTATTTATAACTCATTTCTTTTTGTGTCTTTTTCAGTTTGTTGTGGAGACAGTAAAGAATAATGCTTCATCTCTAATCTTTTCATTGAATGTTGTTGTTTTCAGCACATTTTTAAGTATCTGCAAGCGGAGGCCATCAAAAAAGACCAACAAGACTTTCTGATGGGATGGAAAGGCTTTTTCAAAATGGTGAGATGCTTTGTTTCCTTTTTTAAACTTTGGCACTGATTGAGGTTACTCATTTCACAGACCTCTAGTTGAAAGAGTTGAATTTAAAATGTGTGCGTTGTTGCTGCTGCAAGTCATACATACATTACTGTGTTGTGCATTTCAATAATTGTACTGCATATTTCTAATGTATTGTGGATTGTATGTTGCAGAATGTGGGTCGTCAAAACAACGACAGTGACTGTGGAGCTTTTGTGCTACAGGTGAGCTTCTCACACCCATTGTCCACATACAGATTAATGTGACACCTTGTTTTTTTGGCCTTACATTCAAATTAATACCATTAGGGCTGCATGATTAAGCATACTAACAACACAATCTCATTTCCTGTCGACCACCAGCACAAACTTTTTTTTAGAGCCTTAGAAAGACTACAGAGGCTATGGCTTTCAAACTGTAAGCACATTCGCTACATCATTCGGTGTGTTTAGCTAACTCAACCAAACTTGATAGCCTATTTGGGAAGTAGGCTGTGCTAAATGATTGCCATGGTTGTACCACACTTATGCCCTGGACACTCTGCATGTGTCTGTTTGTGTCTGTTACACCCATGTTAACAGGTGAGAGCTGCCACGCTGCCCATGTGAGCTGTGGTCATATTGACATTTACCAGCAACATATACACTATGTGGACAAAAGTATTTGGCCACACCTGTTACTTGAATTCAGGTGTTCCAATCAGACCCCTTGCCACAGGTGTATAAAGTCAAGCACCTAGCCATGCAGTCTCCATTTGCAAACATTTGTAATACAAAATGGGTCGTTCTGAAGAGCTCAGTGACTGCAAGCATGGTGCTGTGATAGGACGCCACCTTTGCGATAAGACGGTTCGTGAAATTTTATCCCTGCTGGATATTCCATGCGCAACTGTAAGTGATATTATTAAAAAGTGGAAGCATTTAGGAACAACAGCAACTTTAGCCACGAAGGGAAAACCATGTAAAATCACAGAGCGGAGTCAATGACTGCTAAAGCGCATGATCGCCAAAGTCGCCATCGCTCTGCTGATTCCATACCTGAAGAGTTCAGAACTTCCACTGGCAAATGTAAACCTTACATCACCAAGTCCAATGCCAAGCATTGAATGGAGTGGTGTAAAGTGCATTGTCACTGGACTGTGGAGCAGTGGAAACCTGTTCTTTGGAGTGAAGAATCACGCTTCTCTGTTTGGCAGTCAGACGGTCGAGTCTGGGTTTGGCTGATGCCGGGAAGAGTTATCTGCCTGACTGCATTGTGCCAACTGTGAAGTTTGGTGGAGGAGGGATAATGGTATGGGGCTGTTTTTCAGGGTTTGGGCTAGGCCCCTTATCTCCAGTGAAGGACATTTTGGACAATGCTATGCTT